GAATCCTAACCCCTAGTGTGATATTTGGAGGCGGGCCTCCGGGGTGATCAGGTCATGAGGGTGGAGCCCTCATGAATGGGATCAGACCCCAGAGAGCTCCCTTGCCCCTTCTGCCACCTGAGGGCACAGGGACAAGCAGTCAACTATGACCACGAACGTGGGGTTTTTACCAGACATTGCATCTGCCAGTACCTTGGTTTTGGATTTCCCAGCCTCCAGGACTATAAGAAGTAAATGTTCATTGCTTGAGCCATCCAGTCGATGGTATTTTTTTGTTATAGCAGTATGAATGGACTGAGACAGGAATAAAGGCTATAAAACTGTTGGATGTTTCAAAAGTAAAATCACTTTTCTGAGGAGCCTAGGGAAGGGCCAGATAGATAGGTAATATATATAGAGAGATAAATGTATCATCTCAAATTAAATCCAGGCATCCAAATGCTTAAGTATAGTAGAGCATGACACAGTTATTCCCACAAACATCCTCTATCCCTCCAAGAATAGGGACATTTGAAGGGCAGTGGAGACAAGTGGTAAAGCCTAAAGCCTCTAGTGTGGTTTCTTTGTTTATTTAATTTATTTAAGGCAAGGCAACCCTTGGTTGACCTCACAGATTGGAAGGACCTTGTCAGCTTACAATCCTTTATTTTTTAATTCTTTTTACGCCTACAGCACCTGGTCTTCCTAGGTGGTCTCCCATCCAAGTACTAACCAGGCCTGACCCTGCTTAGCTTTTGAGATCAGTTGGGATCGAGCTTGTTCATGGTGGCATGGCCGTAGACTTAGTTTGGTTTTCAAGTAAGTGTGTAACAGACAAGCTAAGGCAAAGCTCTAAAATGCTACTTAATAAATGTGTGACTCTAGACAAACCACTTGACATTTCTCTCTTTTAGTTCCAAGACAGTTAATGATTATAAGTAAGAAAAATCAAGAGAAAGTGTCCAAGAGATTTACATTTTAAACAAACAAAAAATTAGAGTGCACTTTAAAAAACATTAGTTTATCATCATGAATTTTAAAGTTCCAGGGTGGGAGAACATCTCTTATTAGCAGGAAGTTACCCCACACTTACCACGGCCTCAGCTTCTTCTTTAGGGGCAGCTCGCTTTAATTTCACAGGAGTAGTTCCAACAGGGGACAAAGGCGGCGACTTCACAGGGCCGGAAGGACTTTTCCTATGCGTTAAGTCATGGTTCTGTTTAGTGTCATTATTAGTGTGTTCCATTTTATTGTTCGTAGGCAAATTGGAAGACAAAATTAGGGGTGAAACACTTGAAGAGGAATTTGATAATTTTCGAAAGGCATTACTGGTAAAGCTTGCCTGAGGGGGAGGCTTGAGTCGATCATTATCCCCATTCTCTGTCTTTTTCACTTTTATGCTTGTACTTGTTGAACTTCCATCAAACACAATGAGGGGTCTTTTCCTTAGCCCATCTACAGTGCTACTCCTGAAATCAAAGAGATGTATTCATGAAAAATAGCATCTGGAATGGCAAAGCAGTTCACTAGAATGCAGAGTTAAAACAACGACCAAAAAAGATTTATTGGTAAGACTAAGTTATTGTAAGTGGGACTACTGGAAATGAAATTTTCTATGTTCACTTCTAAATGAAATCATAATTTCCTAGTGCTTTAAAGTTTAAATACTTATTGACATAAAACTTAAAGGTAGTTTTATTGTATACACAATATAGTTATTTTTAAAACATCAAGTGACCAACTAACCCTAGAACTTAAAGCAGAAAGTAACTAAAAAAAAAAATTAATTTTTAAATACCGCCATCTTAGTGATAGGGCTATCTCGATGATGTATCAATTATTATTTAGAAAGAATAAACTATAAAACTATACCAAGAGCACCACAGTAGCAGTCTACAAACAATCAGAACATTCTATTCTATTCATTAGTCTCTAAAGCCAAGGCATTTTCTAAACTAACTGTAACATACGCATAATTTTAATTTTAAAGTTTATCAACGTTTAGTTTCTGAAAACCTAATTTCCACTCTTAATCATAAAGAGAATAAAAGCATTAATCTGTTCATTATTCATTATACCCCAAGTCAAACAATAGATTTATGATAAGAATCTTTTAATTAAACATGTTACAAGGACTTGAGCAGGAAGAACAGTTCAGCCTCGCGACTCAAAGCGTGGTCCAAGAAAGCAGCTTCAGTTCCATGTTGGGAGCCTCTAAGAAACGCAGAATCTGGGAATTCCACCTGCACCCATTCAGAATCTGCCTTTTGACCAGATCCTACACAACTAGCCAAACTCACCAATTCTTGGGTCGCCACTGAACATCATTTGGTAGATGAAAAATAAGCTCACTGTACACCCACTGCCATTGCAGAAGGGACACAGAGGGACTTAGAGCAGGGCACATCACCTTGTGAGAGTTCAATCTAAGATTCAAGAGGTGCACTGAGAAACACAGCACTAAAGAGCTAAATCTAGCTCTGTGTGACCTGGGGTATGTAACAATCCTTCTCTGGAACTCAGTTCCTTCAGGACAAAATAAGCGACTCAACAATATCCGATGATCTCTTAGATCCTTTTGGCTTTAATGCTCCTATACAAGAGTCATTTTTTTTTAATGGAGCCAAAGATCCTTTCTAAAACAACACTGAGGGACTGAAAGAACTTGTAATATGAAGTAATATATAACAGTATTGAAAGTTTTGATTAGGACAATGTGCCTGAATGTACAGACCAAGAAGAAAACATTTGCTTAATAAGAGTTAATAATAGTAAATGAAAGAAATATACAGCATAATCCAGATTTATGAAAGCTAACATAGCTAATACAGCCTGCATCAACATGTAACCGCCAAGCTAAAATGATGCTCTATCTGAACTGAATGTGTTCCTGATCAAAAGTGAGACTGTACACATATTTATTTTCCAAAAGACTATGAGCATACATGTTGTATTCTTCAACTATTCTAACACTTGTAGAATAATCTCTCCACCAATGATGCATTTTTCTTTCTAACTAGAAATTAAAACCATTAATCAAATCACTGTTAGCACTATCCCTCTTCCCCGCCCTCCATCTTTCCCACTGTCTCTAGCGCACGGTCTGTGACAGTACTCTACGTACAGAAGGCTCTAGAAGACAATCCAGTAATTAATCACTAGAACCCACTTACAACAAAAAACACACAGGAAAAAAAATAACAAGCCCACTTAGGGATCTTTGGACTCTTTGTCCTCATTAACTAACCAGCTCCACTGACTGATCAAATGTGACTTTCTTTAAAAAAGGAAATTCATTTGCCTGTGGTTTTAGAAATATTTTCTAAGATTTAAAAATTTTAAAGTATTCCTGAAGCTTATGACAGTCTCTTCATTTCTTTATTATTCAAAGATCTGAATATGATCATATCAATAGATGCAGTCTGGAAATTGAAACAATCATCAAAAACCTACTAAAAAGTAAAAGTCCAGGACCAGATGGTTTCACCAGTGAATTCTACCGAACATTCAAAGATTTAATACCTATTCTCAAACTCTTACAAAAAAATCAAAGAGGAGGCAATGCTTCCCGACTCATTTTATGAGGCCAAAATCACCCTATACCCAAACCTGGTAAAGATAACACAAAAAATGAAAACTACAGACCAATATCTCTCATGAACACAGAAGCAAAAATACTAAATACTAGCGAACTGAATACAGCAACATATTAAAAAGATTATACACCGTGATCAAGCGGGCTTCATCCCAGAGGCAAGGGGATGGTTCGACATACGCAAATCGATTAATGTGATACACCACATAAATAAATTAAAAAATAAGAATCATATGATCATATTAATAGACATAGAAAGAGCGTTCAACAAGATATAGCACCCATTTATGATCAAAACACTTAACAAAATCGGTATAAAAGGAAAATATCTTAATGTAATAAAGGCCATATATGACAAGCCCTCAGCCAGCATTATACTTAATGGTAAAAGACTAAAAACCTTCCAAGATCAGGAACAAGACAAGGCTGTCCCCTATTGCCACTGTTATTCAATACAACATTGGAGGTCCTAGAGAGTGCAATCAGGCAAGAGAAAGATATAAAAGGCATCCAAATAGAAAACGAAGAAGTCAAACTGTCACTATTTGTGGATGACATGATTCTCTAGATAGAAAACCCTAAAGACTCCACAAGAACACTACTAGAAATAATAAGCAAGT